CAGGCGCGCGGGTCAGCTGACCGGTCCCCATGGCGACGGGAGGGGGCGCACGGGTCAGCTGACCCGGTCCTCAAGGCGACGGGAAGGGGCGGCGGGGCGGCCCGAGCGGGGCGGGGCCGGGGCCAGGTAGTCCGCGGCTGCCCTCTCCTCTGCCTCGGGGCGCCCCGGGCGCAGCGCGCGGCAGTGTTCCCACTTGGGTGCTTAGCTCCGGTCGCCTCCGACGCGGCGAGGTCGAAGTGCCCGCCGCTCGCTGGAGATTTCCTGCCTAGCGCTCGCCGCCGCCGCTTGCCTCCCTGCCGCGCGAGTCCCCGGGACCTGCCAGCCGCCCCGCTCGACCCCCTGCCGTGTGTCTTCCAGTTCTTGTCTTACTGTTCTTGGTCACCTGCGCTAATGCCTCCTGCTGTAGGGCGCTGTGTGTGATGGAGCGTGAAGACAGCCGTGTGCCGACACCGAGACCCCGTTGTAACAACGCTGTGCGCATTGTCTTAGCAACAACATCCTATTGTAAAGAACCTGAATATTACCTGTTTTCAGCTGTCTTGGAATACCGTGGAGTCCTTGATGAAATGGCATTAACATACTAGGTAATTTATCTCTAGCAAAATTACTTAGTAGCACACTTTTAGTAAAACTAGCAAAAATCTGAGCATAAAAGACATGATGAAAATTGCCCTCAAAGAGTTTATGGATTATGTGACAAATAGGTATTTAAAAACAATTACCGAATAGACAGAAAAGGAAAAAATAAAACATTTTTTCACTGATAGGACTGTGTGTACAGGAAATCCCCAAGAACTGACAAAAAAATAAAACGGATTAAAAAAAATTATAAGAAGATTGCAGGTACAAACCTAGTATATAAAAGTCAGTTGTTTTCTGTATGTATCAGAAATGAGCAGTTGGAATTTGAAATTAAAAGCAATACTCGTTATATTAGCACCAAAATAAAATGAAATCGATGCAAATCTAATAAAATGTGTATAATATCTATGTAAGGAAAACTACAAAATTCTGGAGAAAAATCTAAGATCTACACAATTTAAAAGTTATTCATTGTTCATGGATATGAAGCTTCAATATTACAATAGTAGTTATTCCCGTTGATCTATAGATTTAGCCCACTCTAAAAATTGCAGTAAGTCATTTGTATTAACAAACTGACTTTAAAGATTATGAAAAAGCAAAAGGCCCAAGAGCCAAGGTGATAGTGTACTAAAGAGAAAATACGATGTCTGACTAATGGTTTTAGTTTGCCCACTGTAAGAAGTTACCAAGGAACGGGTGGCCTAAGTACCATCTTTAGCTCTCACAGCTCTACCAGCTAGGAATCTCAAGATCTCGCCCGAAGAGCTGAGGCCTGTTGAGGGCCCACTTCCTCATTTGTAGTGGTCATTTTGCCATTGACTATTCTTGTGGCAGGTAGTGAGAGAGAGGGAGAAGGAAATAGGGAAGAGAGAGAGTGCTTTCTACTGTCTGTTCTCCCCGAACCCCAACTGGAGACCGGCTCTCGCTCTGGGATTCTGGCTGATTTTGATCTATGTAGCTCACCTGATCCAAACTCTCGGTGAGTGTCCTGCCCCAGCCTCTCTAGTGCTGGATGGCAGGTGTATGCTAGCAAGCCTGGGTTGCCTGGCTCTTCTTAAAAGGGCTTTAACCCTTCTATGAAGCCTCCACACTCATGATTCATTTATCTTCCAAGGACCCCCTTTCCACATACCGTCATACGTACTATGTAATAGGCTTGAACTTTGGGGACAAGGACACAAGCCTCTTCAGAATTTGCTATAAAACTCTGTCATCCAGCTAGGCACTGTGGCAAATGCTGCAGCCCCAGCACTCTGGGAATCTGAAACAGAAGGAGCACAAATTGAAGCCCAGCTGAACAACAGCAATTTAGCAAGATCCTATCTCAAAAAGAAAGAGGAAAGAAGAGATTGCTCAGTGTAAAGGCCCACAGCTCAATCCCCAAGACTGAAAAAAACCAAAAACTATAGTAATCATGAGAGATTGTTTAGGCAAAAATAAACCAATACATCAATGGAAAACAATAGGAACAACAAAAACAAATACAAAAGTACATTGAAAATATCTTTGAAAGAGAAGACTGTGGAAGGAGAAAAAGGCCTCTGCTGGGATGTAGCTTGGGTGGAGTATGTGCTTAGCACACATGACTGCCTGGGTCTACTCCCAGCATCGTGAAAGTGAAAAAAAGAAAAGCCTTCTTTAAAAATGTGTTCTAAGAACAAACAAACAAGTGTTTTAGAACAACTGAACTTCTGCATGTAAAAAATGAATCCAGACATAGATCTTACATCTCTTATAAAGTTTGTCTTGAAAAGGATAAGTCTAAATTTAAATTGCAAGACTATAAAAAAAATTAGAAGATAATAGAGGAAAGTCTTAGTGACTGGGTTTAGCCACAAGTTTTTACTTTTTTATTTTTATTTATTTAGTATTTAGGCTCTAAAGGGTCTCACTATGTACAGCAGACCCACAGTGCTCCTCCTATGTTCAGCCTCCCAAGTGCTGGGATTACAGGTGGGCACTACCACACCAGTCTCAATCAACATCTCAGCGCACCCCGGGGGCAGGGCTGGCAGGGCATGTCGGGGATCGAACCCCAGCTGCTGTGCTCTGCCTAAGCAGGTGCTTTAATCCACTGAGCTATCTGGCCGGCCCTTCCACAAGTTTTTACATACAACATGAGAAGCAACTCGTAGAAGAAAAAAACTGACAAGCTGGATTTTTTTAGAATGAAAACTGTTTTCTCTCTGAAAAACAATGTCAAGAGAAGACAGGTTACAGACCAAGAGAAAATAATTGAAAAAAAAATCTATTGGGCAATCTGTATTCAAAATATTCACGTAACACAATCCCAAACAACAATTAGAATCCACAACAATTAGAAGTAAGACAATTAAAAACTGGGCAAAAGATGTAAACAGACATCTCACCAGAGAAAAGCTAAACAGAAAATACATATATGAAAAGTTCAGTATTATATAACATTAGGGAACTGCAGATTAAAATGAGATAGCACACTATACGCCTGATACAACAGCTAAAGCCAAACACTGGCAACACCAGATGTCTACCAGGGTGTGGGGCAAGGAGATCTTTCACTCCTTACTGGTGGGAATGCAAACTAGTACAGTCTCTCTGAAGATGGTTTGGAAGTTTCTTACAAAGATAAATACAATCTTTCCATGTGAATTATTAATCATGTTCAAATGTGTTGGTTATGTCCAAACTAAAACTGAATATGAACACTGACACAGTTTACTCATAACTGCCCAAGATAGGAAATAACCAGGATGCCCTTCAGTAGGTAAATCAATAAGCTGCGGTACATCCAGATATTGCCATAGGTACTAAGCTGGCACTCTTACAACACCAAGGAATGGAGTCACAAGCCAAAGGAGGAAGTTAGAAGTATTTTACTGAAAATAATATTGAGAAGGATAGTTCTTGGATTTCCCGGAGGGGTCCCAAGTGAGTGACTGTCCAGGGCCTTTGTCAAGGGCATTTTATTACAGCAAAATCACAGCCTGGCTAACTACAGGTTAAACTACAATTACCCTGTCGGCTTACAGGTACAGTGCTTAGCTAATACTGGTCCAACAGGGAAGCAAGGCACATAGCAAGGGTCTATGGGAAGAGCTTGTCTATAACTTTTAATGTAGAAAGAACCAAGACATTTCTGGAAAGGGATGGGAGTATGGGCCAGTATGCTTTGGTTGCCCACCATGTGTTGGATGCACTATTATAGGCTCACAGATAGGGTTAGTTACAGTACAATCTCAAGCTGCTACTTCTCTAAGGAAGCCTGCACACAGGGGTGCTTCAAATTTGTCCGCAGCCACAATTTTGCATGTGTCATCTTTTGCACTGACTGCCTCAAGGGCCCAATTGCTCTCTGGTTGCCTGTTTGCTATCTAACTTACATGGAGTGTTATTCAGCAACTAAAAATGAGCTATCCAACCACAAGATGTGAGGGCCTCCTCAAGGATTTTGCTAAATGACAGACAGTAGTGTAAATAGCTACATATTGTGTGATTCCAACAATAAAACATTCTGAAAAAGGCAAAAATTATAGAGTTAAACAAGAAGACTAAGCAGGTGAAACACTGGGTCTTTTTAGCTATAAAGGCAGGTGTGTGACATCATGCATTGGTCAAAAATCATAGGGTAGTAAATATATTTGGTGTTTGTTGTATATTCAGTGTTTGATCTAAACAGAAATGCTTGAAGTTTGAAAAATGTTTGATGTTTCAAAAAATGTAAGGAGTTTCTTGAGTGAAGCATGGTCAAGAAGTTTCAAGAGGGAGGCTGGCCCTCAGTAACACCAAGCATGTGATCAGGGCTGCAACTTTTGGCTCACACCCCAATTCCAGGAAATGGAAACTGAAGTAAGAGTTTATGCACTTGGCCAATGACTTGATGAACCATGCCCACATACCCGCATGAAACTCCAGATGAAAAAAATTCTGAATCCCAAGGCTCACGGGGGAGGTATGCTAATTCCACAGAGGCAAAAGTTCTTGCTCTGATGATCCTTTTTAGAAAGCACTCAATGTACTTCTTCATCTGGTCATTTGTATCCTGTACTATAAACCTGTAATCATAAGTAGAGTGCTTTCAATAAGTTCTGAGTCATTCCAGCTAATTATTGAATCTGGAGAGGGGTTGTGAGAACCCCCAAATTTGCAGCCAATGTGGATAACATGAACACCCCAGATGCAGCTGCAAGTAAGGGCAGGTTTTTATTGACTGTGATGGTTCATCTTAGTTGTAAATTTGCATGGAGATTAGTGAGACACCTGCTGTGTGTGAGGATGTCTCCAGAGGTGACGGGCAGGTCTGCCAGCAAGCTGAGGGGGGAAGACCTGCCCTCACTGTGGGTGGCTCCATCCAATAGCTCACAGTCTGGGTGGGATGAAGTGGAGGAGGAAGTCAGCGTGCACTTACGGCGCAACTTTGCCTGAGCAGATCTGTCTTCTCTGCTGCCATCACCTGTGGACGGCGGAATCCAGTTTCTTCAGCTTTTCCAAGCACACTGAGCCGCTTCTGGACCCTCTGGCTCTTCAGTTTGAAGAAGGTATTGGTGGGCTACCCTATATCCTATCCTGTAATCAACCTGCTAATATGCATATACACATATATATTATAATATTTCCATTGGTAGAATAAGTTTACTCTATTGATATGTTTATCCTGTTGAACATATATTCTACTGATAAAATATATGTTTATTCTATTGAATGTATTGAATATATATTCTTTTGGTAGGGTCCATATATTCTATTGCTAGGACATATCTGTTGCCTGGAAAAGATGTATGTGTTTATATTTTACTAGTTCTGTTCCTTCAGAGAGCACTAACGTTGCAAAGATCTTGTCCATCTTGTTAAACTGATTTCTAGAATACTTGGTTTTTGACAGAGATGAACACATAGTACAACACCAAGGATGGACTCTAAAATATGGGTTTAGTTACTACAATTATGTTAATGCTGGTTCAATTATTACAAACATACCACATTAATATGTTTATAATAAACTATGTGGGATAGAGGGTACATAAAGGAACTCTAGTTATAGATCATTTTATGCAAACCTAAAACTAATACTATTCTACAAGTAAAAATATAAAAATTTAAAATAATTACACACACAAAGTTGAAATGGATATTTGAGGAAAAAGCTCAGGAAACTAAGAAAAAATATTATGAAGGATCAAAAGTAGTTTAGGAGTTCAAAGAATGCTTCCTTAAAGATATGACTTTTAGGCTGAAGAGTAGGAATCAGCCAAATAATAAAGGGGAAAATAGGCAGGGAACAACAAATGCAAAAGCAGTAGAGTTAATTGTTAGTGCACTTCAGGAGCTGAGAGGTCATCATAAACACCAGGGTAAGAGAAGGAGTGCTTCAGATGGAGCTGAACAACTAGGGAGAATGTGCTGAAACCACTGAAAAAGACTACGCGATTGGAGTTGTATTTAGAATGTTTACTCCGTCCATTGCTTGGAAGATGGGTTGAATGTGGAGATGTGTGTGCTATGTTTTTTTGTGGAACCAGGGATTGAACTCAGGCCCTTGCACTTGCCAGGCAAGCACTTATTCTACTGAAACATCTCCCCGGCCCCTCGTGCTATGGTTTAGATGTGGTTTATTTTCACAAGATTCATGTGACTGTCCCCAAGGTGCTGGTATTAAGAAGTGTAGAGCTTTTAAGAGCGAGAGAGAGAGAGAGAGAGAGAGAGAGAGAGAGAGAGAGAGAGAGAGAGTCAGACAGACAGACAGACTGACAGACAGACAGGCACAGAGACAGAGAAGAGAG